GCCCGCATCTGTAGATGTCTATTTCATATATATATATATATATATATATATATATATATATATATATATATATATATATAGTTACATCAAGTAACCCCTAAAGAACAATACTACTGATGCATTTTCCAAATAACAACTATGTATTTGGAGAAAATCTTATAATAAGCAATTACAATAAGTAAAATTCAAAATATTTAGAATATTTATATCTGATTTTTACCATCAGAGCTGAATCAAGCCTGATGTCTTCCAAATTAAAAGAAAACTCCTTATAAGTAGCTACAATTAATGGCCACAAGGTGGAGTTGGAGGATTAACTACAGTAAAAGTTGAGGCGGATATCCCAGCATTATTGTAATCTGGACAGCAGGTCTGAATCATCGCTGGATTCCTAGAGCAAATATTTGTGAGCTCCATTTCTGGTTGATATTAAACAAAAGAATTTGAGCAAATCTTCCTCCAAACAAACACAAAGCCTCTGGATTTACTGCCTCTAGAGTGAAAATCTAAAATGCATCAAACAAAAACAGCGTGCATCACTTTCTAGTCACATAACATTCTCTGATTAACATAATTATCAGCTGGTATAGATTATCAGTTAAATATTTTAGTAGAAGGCAACAGGACTTCTCTTGTTTCATGTTATTTCGTCTCTCATTCGCCTTCAAGAAACAAGAGAGAAGTCCAGTTGTCGTCTTCTTCTCAAGCACTTGGGAGTTTGCATCAACAAAGGACTTACCGTCTCTAAGGCATCCTATCCTGTACATCATGGGCATCTTGATCACAAAAGCAAACAGGTCATCAATAAAGGTATTGAGAGCCTTGTAGGTGAGCATCCTCCACGGGAGGTGAGCTACAGACTTCATTTTGTAGTTAATGAATAGCTGCGGTGTCATTGTAATGAAACCTAAAAAGAGATAGAAAGCAGCTGGTTATACAATCAACTCAGTAAAGCAAGCAGGCATCTTGTCAGAGTGCAATTCAATGTCTAAAAATACACAAAGCCTTAACAGAGACTACAGGGAATAAAGAAGTGCAACTATGATGCAAGTACAAAAACCAGCAGGTGTGTTTGCAACCAGGTACAGTTTAAGGGATGCAGCAAACCTGACAAAACATCCCAAGAATGTTTTGTCTTGGGACAAAACAATTTTAGTGCATGATCACCAACAGATAAAGAAGCGCTGAACATTTAGTAACAGAATAATAATCTTTTGGGGAAATCTAGAACACAAAGACACAAAAAGGCAAATTTATAACAGCTTTGAATGTTTTGCTGCTGTAATCTGAATATTTAAGACAACCTAAAATCTAAAATACTAAAATATTTAAAATTCTAAAGAATCAATCAGCATAAAACTTTCAGTCCAAGAGCTTATCTTGTTGATATTTCACATTTTACTGTCTAAAAGAAAGTACATGCAGCTATTGTTTTTTGGGGTTTTCCCACTATTCCAATTAAAAAAACAACAAAAAGTCTTGATTCGACAGGTGTAACATTTCAAGCCTAAATTACTCTAAATCTAGATTTGTTTTTATTTACATGGTCACAGCTGAGATTATTGGAAATGTTCCATGCAGCAGAAAAAAAAACATGTAATAAAGGGCATGAAACCATCAGATAAACTTACCAAAGGTTAACAAGAAGCCATAAAGCATGCTGAGTACCCAGGAGTACCAGCCTTTGTGCTCTACGTACAATAAGCTGTAGACGGCGTAGCAGCCGAACAGAGGATAGAGCAGCCATGACAAGTACCTGAAGGCCATCTGTTAACACAACAACACAGAACGGAGGTCAACACAACTCTGTGCTACTTACATACACTGATGTTCATCGATGTAAAATACAATTAAAAGACCCGTTCAGGTCATTCATCAGGCATCAACATTCAGGGTTGCCAAAAGGAAACAACATTGCTGACTGATTCAACTTCATCAGCCCAGGTGAATTCAATTTAAAAAGCGAAACTCTTTTTAACGTTTGTTAACGATGACTATTATTTCAGTTACTTGGGCAACATTTTCCTTCCACTTAACTTTTCAAAAATATGCTTTGACAAAATACACTGAATATAGCAATAACCATTTTAAGCTTTCTGCCCCCGGTCATTACTTGTAGAAGGCGTCAATGACTATTTGCAAGACGGCGACGACGCTGGTCAGCAATACCAACGTTTATAACAGGCCGTAGCGTCACATCTCTACCAGAGATCCCTTTTACTTAAATTTGGCCTTTAATGATATTCCAGCTTTCTTTTTATGTTTTTATCTACAAAAAATGTATCAAAGTATTTAGTTAATCTTTACATGAGTTTCCCTTTTTAAACTGAATTTACTGGGATAAACATGACTAGAGTGCTGCATCTTGAACATCATGCAAACTTACGTCATCATAGATTTTGGTTGAAGACTCCACATATGTTGATTTATCTTTGAATACCAATCTAGGAAGAATCCCTGCAATTTTGTTCTCTCGGTCCAACTAGAGGGAGCAAAAAATAACGATCAGAACAGAAATTCACATAAATCTGGTAATAAGTAATGAGCCCAACCCCTACAATTTCCCACTATAATTCTTGCCATGATGTGCTGAAGGGGGGTTAGAAAGAGTAAGAGCTTCTTAAAGAGATGGAGGCCAATTTCAAGGCATCAATTATGTCTATAATGCAAAGTCAAATTTCTTTTAGATATATACAGAATTTTGATAACTACTGAAGGCAACATAATTGCTTGACTGTGCGATAAAATGATACTTTATCTCTGGAGAATGCATAATACCTCCTCAAGCTACATTTCACCAGCTAAGCTCAAAAGCATAACATGTTATCTATAGGCCTGTCACGATAAATTGTCCCATAACTTATTGCGATAAACGATAATATTGTTGTCTTGAGACAATTTTCAAGTAATATAATGGAAGAATAATATAAGAACACTTCCTCAAAGATCGATCGACTTTTAAACATTGAAACTGGAAGACCTTTTTAATATCCAAAATAAATAAACAACAGAAATAACAAATAAAATTAATTTTGAGGTCCCTGCAGAAAAAACTCTTTCACAAAAAGGGATAGTTGAGACCAGAGCACCAGACTGAAGACCAGTTTTGATAGAAAGAGAAAAAAGAAAAATGATATGTCAAGCAAATGAAAATTAATTTAGTTTGTTCGAGTTTATCATATGATTAATTGATTTATTGTTTATTGTGACAGGCCTAGTTATATACATACACATGTTTAATTTGGTTCTGACTTAGCTTGTTCCCTAAAACATAGAAACTTCCCCAGATTTTACAGCAAAATGCACACGTTGGTTAGTGTTTATTTACTTACCTTGACATCCATAACCTTGGTGATTTTCCACAGATCAATTAGAAGACCGATGAAGACGCTGACTTGCACCACAAAGTTGGTTTCGTTGTCCAAAATGTACAGCAACACAACAAGAGACTGAAACACCCCAAATATAATGGAGCGCACAGACAGTCCTTCCAGAGATTGTCTGCTGTTCCAGAACTGGATATCTAATGGGAAGGAAAGAAAAGAAGAAAAACAGAGGATGATGTGGGGAAGCTCAGCTGGGAGACCGCACTAACACACCTTCTATTTTTGATGAAAAATGAGAAAAAATATATGCCTACTCACCATTCTTAAAAGCGAGGAACTCAAAGATGCTGTGTACAATAGACACCACAATGGTGAGTCCCAGCAGGTATGGATTGGTTTCCAAGAGGGCGACCTGTACAAGAAAAAACAACATTTTAATGTTAAAGCATACAAGTTTTCTCATCTGTTAAAAACAAACACCAAAAAAGTGTTCACAGGGTTTATTTAACTAAGATAACAAAATCACACTAAGACTAAGGAAGAGCCAAATCAGGTCAAGTTATGAATAATTAACTGGAATATTCTTTAATACAAAAAGCAATAAAAATATCTACTAATGTACCAGTGAAGCAAACCTTACTGAAACTCATTTTTAAAATATTGTGAACACAAATTTAATCATCCTCATTTTTTCCATCCTTCTTGTAATTTGAAAATATTCCTGCTCTTACTCTCATCTTCATTAAAACAATGTTTACTATTATTTAGAGCCCTGCAGGTTTCTTCTCTGATGTAACATAACAATAGATTACACTACCGCAACCAAAAACGGGACAACTAACATGACAACACATCATTGTATTTAGCAGAGGGAGCTCACCTTGACGGAGTCTTGGTCTTCATCAGATTGCTCGTACGTGTCCTCAGGCAGGAAGTTCCATGGCGAGCGAGCGTTCTGGGCAGCGTAGAGCTGCCAGCGCCACAGGGACAGGGGGCAGTAGGTGAGCCTCAGCGGGAGTTTGGTCAGGGTCTCGTTGATGGGATAGTAGTCCTTCTGCAGGTTCCAGTAGTCATTGAAGTAAACAATGGGGTAGTAGTCGCCACTTACTGCGTCAAACTTAACATCTGGAGTCAGACACAGAACAACGGGAATATGAGACGTAAAACCAAAACGCTAGAAATTCAGTTACCACTGAAACATTGAAAACAGGAAGTGAAACTCACATTGGTCTAGAGGGGGTGGGACAGAGCCTTTCACCCAGGCTGTGTGATCATCCACCATATTAATGGTCAGGTTGGGGTGCCAGTGGGAGATAATCTCCACTGGACCGTGGCTCTCTGCCCGCTGTGAGGAAATATAGTTGAGACATTTCAGAGCAGCAACAGCCAACAACAAAAACAGGAAAGCTACTTAAAAAAAAACTGATAAAATTTAAATAAATTATCTTTTACTTGGGTTATCCAGTTTGTAGAAGAAATGTGTTGGTGTTTTTATGCTCATTTCATTTATATAAGAAAATATTTCTAGTGATTAAATTCTTTGCTCTCTTTTCTCTGTGTTCAACTTTTCCCAGGAATCTTTGCTACATTACATGTGATTTTGATATGAAGCTATATACGACCAATTGGTACAGGTAAGCTCTGTTACAAGTGAAAAAAAAAAGATGGTTCTGATAAATGTATCAAATTTTATTTTGAAAATCCTCCCCCCCCCTCTTTCCTTAAACAACAAATATCTTTGCCCCCTGTTGAAATGGGGATGTTATATCAGACAAAAATGCAGGGGTTAGACAACATTTTAGCCTTAACTGTTTTTTGTGTCAGTTCACCTTAATCATCTCAGGATCTGCTTCCGTCTCTCCTGTGAGCAGATTCTTAGTTTTCAGAAACTTTCTTCTTTTGAATTTATTGAGCACTGAACAAAAAAACCAAAGCAGTGATCAGTGGTTATTTAATTGCTGTAAAAAAAAAAAAAAAAAAACTTGTGTATTCCTGCTCCTTACTTTTTGTTGAATGAACTGTTGCCAGCCTGCGGTACTGCCCCTTGCGTTTCGGGTCAGGGTGGAATCCACTTTTAGTAAAGTAGACATGAATGTACAGGGAGCCGTTCTGCTGAACTTTCTGCAATCAACCACCAAACGGGAAGACATTAAGAGTCGCAGACACAAATTTATAATAGACACTCTTCCACTGTAGAACCCTCCTCCTCCCCCCCGATTCTCAGAAACCCCTACCTCTGAGATGTCTAACTCTTTATACTGCTGGTAGCAGCCATCTCCGCTCTCCCCTGTGGCCCAGTCTCCATAGACCAGGTCCCTGTGGAACCAGAAAAGGGCATCTGTGTTGTTGAAGTCAGAGAACACCTCCTCCTGGGACACGTAGATGTACAGGTCCTGCAGGCACGGTGAGAAAAAAAAAAAAGGTGTTTATCTTATTACAACGTCAGGAGAGATGCAGCCAGATAGGCTGAGAGCATGCTAACACTCGGCCACGGTGAGATTAAGTTAGGGATCCCAACATGAGGGCTGTTTAGGAATGAAGATTCTTTTTATATGTATAGTGCCTTGAAAAAATATAAATGCCTACTAAATTTAAACTCAAATTTTGTGAAAGATATTTCACACAACTTTCAAAAGACACTAGATAGTGTTATTTTTTATGTATCTTTAATTCACATAAATGACAAAACAGGAAGACAAAGAGGAAAAGTGCTGTACCATGAGGGTGTCTTTGGGGAAGAGGTTCCTGCTGGGTACTCTGGGGGCCCCTGCTGGGGTGTTGGGGTCAGGAGTGGACGGACCTCTGCGGAACCAACTACTGATTGCCCAAATTATGAAGATTCTGGAGAAACAAGCGACACCAAATCAGTAAAATGTTGATTTAGCTGACATACAGTTGAAGGTAAAAATTGTAGAGAAGATAAAAACATGTCAAATGTTATTTTTATTTAATTGTGGTACTCACATTAAAATTGGAATTTGATTTCATGTTGAAACTTTTGAGTTTTTTATTTGGTGGAAAGGGGAATAGGTGCTAACAAGACGACTCCACTTAAGTGACTGATAATTAAAATTCTAAAATGTTTTGCTTGTTCACTATCAACTAATTGGAGCTCAAGTAGTAATATATTTTATCTGGATGTAAACATCATTAAGTCATTAAGTTGATCATTAACTAAAACCTAAAAACGGATTTATAAAAAAATAAAGCCTGCAGTTTCCCATCTTGCAGTTTTTTGGTGATTTAAAACAGCAAAAACAGAACACCACAGAGCAAAAAGATCACCAATTACATCAATGAAGGAACAAGATGTTCTGTTTTATTAAAAATGATATCACTTTTTAACTGCAGTAACCAAATGAAGATGACATTTGAGTTAATTAGAAAAAATAAAATAGATCTTTCAGGAAAACTGAAGAAGCAGCTGTGTCAGGACAACAACAAAAATGAAATTGGAATATAATAAAGCTTCTATTTCAGGACTCGATCTTTCTCAACCATTTAGAAAATTATTCTTTTTTTTGTCCTCTGCTTTATGGTTCAATTTGCACAGAAAAGATGATGACCCAGAGAAGAGAAGTAGAAAGACCGACTGCAGAGTCTCTACACAGATCTGGAGCACAGCGAACTAAGTGACCTGCAGCCCATTATTCTCCAACAACTTGTATCCTTCAATAAAACAGTGACTCCATTATGATTCTAATAGAATACAGAACCTCTTATTTATTATTACAATGACACACTAGTCCTTTATCTGCCAGCTGGTGAAATGAGTTACTCAGTCTGAATTAAAGGCAAGTAAAGCTCACCTAAAGAGGACCCCTTTAATGACCTGCCAGGCATTAGGTGCTTGTTGCTGCTGCTGCTGCTGCTGAGGATCCTGGGCATTTTCAGCTGTCTGCACAGTCTGACCGTCTGTTGTTGCAGCGGTTCCATTGCTGCTTACCTATAAACACAAACATGAAAAAGATGTAAGTGTGGCCAAATGGAAGGCTCATTGGTGATGCAGCAGTGGGTAATGTCACGATGTCTCAGTGGAAACCAGTGTGTAAATAAGTATTGCTGAAAGAGAACTTTGATTTGCTCAACAAATGAAAAAAGTGAGAATAGTATTAGTTATTACAAACATTTTTATGCAACTTTATTAGATACTTCCTAATCCATTTGTAATTTTCAACTGATTAAAAAAAAACTATAAAAACAGACAGACAGACGTAAAGGGAAAATGGGAAATAAAAAGTCTTGCAATAGATATATTTCGACCAGTTGCAGTTTCTGCACAATCTTAAAAAAATGTAAAGTGTGATATTTTGGATTTAGGTATTTTCCAGGTATGGAAGAAGACTTCCATACCTGGAAAATACCTAAATCCAGGTATTTAGGTATGCCTGGATTTAGGTATCCAGGTATCTTTTCCAGGTATGGAAAGAAAACTTTCCATACCTGGAAAGTCTTCTTTTCCAGGTATGGAAAGAAGACTAAATCCAAAATATCACACGTTTTTTCAAGATTGTGCAGAAACTGCAACTGGTCGAAACTGTAAGAATCTAGATAAGGACAAGATGCATGATGGGAAAATGTCTCTTTCTAAACATTTACACTTTAGTTAGCTGCCAAAAAACTGATCTAAGTTAAAATCTATACGGTAAGTTTCCCTCTAATTCAGGGGTGGCCAAGTCCAGTCCTCGAGAGCCACCACCCTGCAAGTTTTAGAAGTATCCTTACTCCAACAGACCAGGATCAGCTCTACAGAGGCCTGATAACGAGCCAGTCATTTGATTCAGGTGTGTTGAAGCAGGGATGCATCTGAAACTTGCAGGATGGTGGCTCTCGAGGACTGGACTTGGCCACCCCTGCTCTAATACAAATCACGTTGATGGATAATAACTGATCTTTTTAATTTATGAGGCAATAACTAAGTAAGATTGTTTTCTTTTACGTAACACCTGAATGGTGAAAGAAATGGTGTTCATAATATTCTATCAAAAGAAATTATACAGCCTTAGAAGTAGAGGCCAGAGGTAAATGACCTCCATCTCATATTCATCTGAAGGTTTTAGTCTCTGTAAATGATCGCTTGGATCAGTAAAAGCTGATATTAGTGGTCACTTTACCCCAAGCTGCAGCATGCCAATGTAACACCCCACGCCCCTCTGGCAAGGTCACAGTCTATTCAAGTATCACAATAGACAAGCACATGCCAAGTCAGGAGACTCATTCACTATCCATCTAACCATCTAATCTTCTCTGTTGTTATAAACACAAGGGAGAGCACTGGTTGGCCTCTTAAAACAGACAGCGCAAAGCTAAGAGTGTCATCAGTTTCAACAAGTTATGTTTGTAGCTTTCAAAGACAAGGAAATGAGAAGATCTATAGCATCCAACAGGCTTAGCAACATAGTAAAGCTCACTGTTGAAGGCTATGAAGTGGACAAAAATAGGGCTTTTCATCCTCACTACCACATCCTGCTATGCAAAAATAAAATGAAGCTAATAAACCGGGACATAAACTTTTGTTTCCTAGATGGAACAAATGTATAGAAAACCCAAATATACACTCAGCAATAGAAAAAGGTTCTCTCTTCACCTTAAGATAATAATTTACACCAGCTGAACAAAGTTTAATCATTGACTAGGTTGTCCAGCTGAATGATTCACACTAGTTTTACCCCTCTATCTGGGATTAGAGACAAACATCAACACTTTGTGACAGCAATATCATAAAATAGAGTTTGGAAAGCTTTGTTTTTGTGTGACAAGACTGATTCACCCAAGCTTTCCAAAGTTACATTCAGATGTAATGCAAGAGAAATCTACCCTTGACTGAAGTGCTGAGATCATTGCTGTTACAGAATAGAGCAGACCATACACTTATGATTAAATCTGACCAGGCGTCATCGACTGACGCCCCTCTCAAAATGCCGTCTCAGAAATTTCTCCAGATTAGCAACAGGACATTTGGAGAGCTGGGAAACTGCTCGTTCTGTAATTAATTATAAATTTATCTTTACACAGCATTTGCGTTGCCAAAGAGACACTTAACGCATTGTCCCGAACGGGAACATGGAAACCAGAGCTAAGCATCTTTCTTTCTGGCAGACAAAATCCTGAAGGGCTGTAAAATTTATCATTCCAAATGCATGAAGTACATTCACAAAATTCCTGAAGACCCTATCTAGATTCCCAAACAGAGACAAGTCTTGTTTTTTTAGAGGCAACTATGTTCTAACTCAAATACCTTTGATTAATTTAGAAAATTAAGGAATCCCTATGAAGCTGATGCAAACATTGTAAACCAACATTTGATAGAATTAAAATACATGATACAAAAATGTTGCAAATATGTTTGTAAAATGAATCTAAAACAACAACGTAAGAGTTTTAGTTTTAAAACTACCCAACATACAATAATCCACATTTTTGGCTTTTTGTTGCCACTCACTGCTGCTTCATCCTTCATATTTTCATCTGTTTGTGAAATACGATGCTCTGAATTTTTACGGGCATCAGACTGAAGCACACAGGGGAGAAGTGGTTTAAAGTGATGATTCACACTGACCTTTAGTAACATGTTATGATGACTAATGTTCAGAAAATACTGTCTTTTTGCAACACTACACTTAATTAGAGGGAACAAATACAAGACCGTGGGCCTTTTCTACCAGCTAAATAACGCATGTGTTTGTCAAGCGTATATCTTCTGGTTATTTAGTCATCTTTGAATGTCTTGTGTTATCTAGTGTCTGTTTTTCCATTTCCTTTGGTTGCTTCCATTTCATTTAGATCAATCTCTGCCTGGTTAGGTACACTTAAGTTCTCCATATTACTATTTTACTTTCTATGGGAAGGTTGAATCTTCTCTGTTCTAGTTCTTCACCCAAGTTGTTTTCAGCTGCGTTACATTAAGCGCATTAAGAAATCTCTCTACAAATATTGAAACATTTTTGCCACTAATGCTGATATACACCAAGTTAGGACCTCAGACTTTTAGTGGAATAAATGTCCACTTGATTGTTCCTCCACTTTTGATATCTACATGCAAGTAAATATTTTAAATATGCAGTACAAAAAATAAAAAATTGTCAGTTTTCCTACTTTTATGGTCTTATTCATTTCAAGCCTTATTCATACAAAATAAACAATAAGAAGTCCATCCATCCATCCATCCATTTTCTGAACACCCTTGTCCCTCAGTGGGGTCGGGAGGGGTGCTGGTGCCTATCTCCAGCTAACGTTCCGGGCGAGAGGCGGGGTACATCCTGGACAGGTCGCCAGTCTGTCACAGGGCCAATAAGAAGTCAATTTTGTAAATTCATTTTATGATTTAAAACAAAATAGTAAAGTCCTATACAACACATATAAATTATGATAAAAGGTCTGCATTTACATACCACAGCATCTACAGTTAGCTATGTTCACTGAATGCATTAACCATAAACAAAAAAGATGCCCATCTTTTAATAAAAATATACTGCTGCGACTTTCTATCCTTCTGCTTGCTTGAGCAATTTAATCTTACATATTGAGAATTTAATTTTTTGTAAAGAAATGGAACTACAAACGTATCTACGACGCCCAAAGTTTTAAATGACGTGGTATGTGGTGGTCTAATATCTTTATATTTATGTGATCCACTCACCATCCACACATCTGGTCAGCTAGTCAGATACTCCAAATTAAATCATAGAGCTGACTGAGCTTTTGTGGTTACCATTTTTGATTTTCAATCACTTGATTAGCAATTAATGGCTGCGCTATGACGTTAGCAGATAAAAAAACAGATTTTTATCTGCTATTATGGGTTGCAGTTTTTACATTTTTTTAATAACGCATACACTCTCAAAATACATATTTTTTTCCCTTTTGCTGTTAGTTATCTATACAGGACTAATTGTTAAAATTTTGATCCAACAAAAAAGTATAAAATATAGTTCAAAATGAATAGGAATTCTTAAATAAATCAAACAGTCTGGATGAAGCTTTCAAGTATTTATAAACAAAAAAGGACTCAATCAAGATTTGGAAACAATTTATGTCTCAGTATGAGAATTTCACTATACATTTTATTTTGAGAAAGATCACTAGCTTCATGTTTTTGGTTTTATGGTAGTTGATGTTTTAAAATGGTGAAAATATGTTGTATATAAAGATACAGTAACAAACATGACACTTTGGCTAATGACAGGACTATTATAAATTTAATTAACATTTCCTCTACCTGCTGAAAGGTGAAACATTCAGTGATGATTGTTCCTAGTAGGTTCAGGCCAATATGATGAAAATATTTTTTAATTCAGCGTTTTGTGATCTTGGGACAAAGTAACCTGAGGAACTTAAATGACCTCAAATTTAAGCTTTTAAAAAACAAAACTCTTCATCTGTCTTTGCATAAAACCTACACAAATTTTATTTAAAATTAATTTTAGTGTTTTTTCAGAGTAAGTAGTGTGAGTTATAACTATTCAAAACATAACTAATTTCGGGTTCTTTTTCCCCAGAAATGAAGCTGATCCATGGTAGTTTAGATGACAAAAAAAAAGGACTGAAACTGCCCTTGGGTGAAGGTTTCACAAGCCATAATGATCTAATAGAGAATGTATATCTTTTGAAGGATAGACCGGTTCAAATTTGAAAAGTGTGGGTAGATTGTTTGAGAGAGCTTTTTAAAGCTGTCCAGGAGCCAAAAACTGTCGAATTGAAGCCAATTCATTATGCTTACTTTTCCATTCTGTAAAGAGACTGCGTAGGAACCTTGTTCGGCAGTTTTTGGCTAAGCTACATCTGGTTCCCCTGCCTGACCAATCTTAAGAGGCAGCGTTTCTGTCATTTGAACGGTCACCATTCACACCGAGGAGGAAAATAGCATATGAAAGGGTTTAACCTAAAGTTGAAATGAGTGGGAACACACTGGCCCCATTAACCAAGCCACGCTGCGCTGACCAGGTTCAGGCCTTGTGATAGCTAACTGTCACGCTGCGGTTGTCAGCTGGTTAAACACCAACACATTAAACTTAACATATAGTCGGGATTATTTTAAGGTTCGCCTTCGGGCACATTTTCTACTGTCAACACTTCCTTTGCTCCGTATCTCGACTCGTTAACAGTCCCGGTTTCACAACACACTGTAAGCGGCGACGGGAGGTCGTTTTAAAACCAACCGGCACTGACAACGTCACTGAGGCTCGCGCAGCGACGGTTGTCACGGTTAAATGTTAGGACGAGCAAACGCTACGTTGAAACCGTCAAACCGACTCCAACTCTCCGGACGTGACGAGTAAAAACCCACTGTAAGGCTGTCATTTATTTTACCTCTCCGTTGCTGACTGTAGGTTTAGTTGACTCGCTCCCCTGCGTCGCCATCTTTCCTCGTCTCTATCGCGCAACACCACACTTGCTGGCTGGGAAACTGCGCTTAGTCTCGCGAGACTCCCGTTGTACCGTCATCGGAGTGATGTACCTTCATCGCCCTCGTAATGATAAAACATCTACCGAGTTGCAAAAAACTAACTTATTAAACATAGAAATAAAAATAACAGTATTTCATAATGTTTAGTACATATGGGTCATTCATTTCCTGGTAACTTAATGTTATAATCAAAATCATTATCTATAATCAAGTGGTTATTTTCCATATCAAAACAAAATGTTTTGATATGGAAAAGTTTTCAAAATTGAACGGGATGATAAAAGTCATCATGCCACAGCTTATTAATCAGATTCAGATCCACACTTTATTTTTCCAAGACTTTGGACTTGCTGGTGTGCTTTGAATCTTATCCTGCAAGATAATCAAATATGTTTGAGCTTAAATATACAAAGCGACGGCCAAACATTATCTTATGACTTTCTTTGGTTTTATTAGTTTAACAGCTCCTGGGCAAGTTTTCCACAGTTCAATGTTTTCTCATTTGTATACATTGGCTCTCACTGAGGTACCAACGCCCTTTCCAGACTGATAAAGGTAACCGACTTCTCATTTCTTCTTCTTCTTCTTGAATTTCTTTAGATCCAGATAGGATGTGCTGATTTTTGAGATCCTATCCTACCTCATATTGCCTGGCAGGTACTGACAATTACTTGATTCTATAGTGATATGGCCTGGTGTGGCTATTAATATTAACCAAAACATGATTTATCACAGAGCACTTGCGATTTAGCAAAGTAGGTTTTTAAAACTCAAGACATGACATCGTCTTTTGAACTAAATTTTGTATTTACTCAGATTATTGTGATCGATAAGCTAAAATATTTAACTATGCCCAAAAATCAAAAGCAAAAATCTGAGGAGGAAAAAGCTTTTTCATGTTATGAAAAATCCAAATCAGATTGTTGGTCAGGAATGCAAATATTACAATATATGACTCACTTATTATTACAAGTCAAAAAAAAAAAACAAATGCTGATCACATGTACTGTCTTTATTAGTGTGGATTATCCTTTGGCACATATTGTCACCAGCACCTTAGAGGTCAATGAATTATAATTACCACCAACTTTATTGAAGACACTGAAATTATAACAATTTTACATTTTTCCAAATTAAACAGTATGCCAAGTGTTTTCACATATAACAAAAGCAAGTCTACCATCAATTTGAGATGCAACACTATGACACCAAGTGATGCAGTTGTTGCAGAGATCTGCAGGTAACTGAGTAAAATCAGTTGCACAAAGATGTGAGTGGTGACATGTGACAAACAAAGCAGCAATGTTTTGCTTAGAAGGGAAATATTTGTTGGTCTTTTAAAAAAAAAAAAAAAAGAAGAAGAAGAAAAAAATCAGCAGTAGTGTCAGAAAAAGCAAACCTGTTACTTAAAAAAATAAATGTGATGCATTTTCTGAGAGCGACTTGTTTTAAAAAATGTAAGAATCCACCACCTGCAGCTTTGATTTACCTTTACCAATCACAAAGTTACTAACCTGGAGTGACCCTTTTTACTGTCAAGTATGATTAGAGTGAATTTTAAACTCGATTGACAGTCCTTAAACAATACGACTGTAAATATGCGCAGTTACACAAAATTCAGACATGCTGACATGAATTGAAAATGAAAAATATTCAAACTGATTCAAAAACAGAACAAAATAAGAAAACTTAAATACATTAATCTGAAAAAACAAACCTTCTTGTGTGCAGCACTGTCAGATGTAACTAGTTTTTTAAATGACTCGTCTAAAGTCACAAATTTATTAATCACTTCTGTGAGGCTGAGGCGAAAAGAAACTTCCAGCTAAAGTGCCTTTGGATCATGCCATCCACGGAACAAACAGGAACATTTGTTACGATAAATCACTCATTCTTCTTCCTCTCTGTTCAGTGAGTGGATCTGAAATTAAAATAAATGACCACAGCAAGAAAAAACAAACAAAAAAAACAAAAACAATGAGAACTGTTCTATATCTCATCCAAACCGTAATCCTCTTCAGGGAAGTCTCCCACAGTCACATTCAACGGCTTCACAAATGCCCCATATTTGTCTTGACACTCAAAGTACTGCTTTCCCTGAACGCTGGACACACAATAAAAATAAGTTAAGATTCAAATTTGCAAAAATTGTTTACATTAATGGGGGGAAAAAATAATTCATCTTACGTTCCATTGTGTTTTCCAAGGGGCTCATCGTACTTCACACCCACCCAATGACCTGACTTGAACTCTGTTGTACCTACAATGATACACATTAGATGGTGGGACAGGGAATAAAGCCTGTAAATGCTAATATTTTTCCATAATCTTTTTCCCCCTGTTTTAAACAGCCAAGGAAAATGTTGAAGACTGTATAGGAACCACAAAAATAAGCATCTTTGTTTTTAACAGACTCCTACCAGTAATCAACTCCATAGTTTAAGCAAAATAACACCAAGTTGAATTTTTGGATTTCAACACTGTTTCTGAACAGTGTTTACTGAGACTAACTTAAAGCTGCACATTTAAGTGCAACAAAGCAAAGGAAGTCTCTACTCTCTTTCAGTCGCAGTAATCGGTAGCGTGTTATGCCATATATTCATGTTGTTTTAAAATATTACACCAGAGGCACAAGATTTTGCTCAGACACAGAAAAGTGGAACTTCAGGACAACTGACAGGTTACTAATAAAATGGGAATATTAGTTTATTTTTGTAATGTCTGCATTCAGAATGTTTGGCTGTTTTAATTTCTAACTCCTTGCTTCAGCAACATCAGCTGGGTTTAAAGATGCTTTGTTTTCCAAAATGGTGCCAGAGTTTTCAAATCCAGCAGACACACACTAAGAACTCACACAGACAAAATAGAGCAGCTTGCTGTACTCCATCTTATCAGCTGAAAATCTCACCGTTTCTTACAGCCTGAATAAACCAGATATACTCCACATATCAGGAAAAATATTGTAAATATTGTAATATTATTTCTGCTTCTGACCCAACGGTCACCAGTCAGGGTAAATGAATCTGGAAATAGACTTTAAGCACACTTACCAACATACATAACCGTGCCAAGCTTTGTGGGCTGCCCTGGGACCTCCACTTTGCAGCGGCTGCCGACAGAAATGGCCTCGGCTGCAGTTTTCTGCTGTTCTTCCCGAATGGTGAGCTCAGCTTTCTTCTTCGTAGCTTCTTCCTCGTTGAAGCGGCCTAAATTCTGCTTCTTTAAGAATGACCGGACGGATTCTACAAGATATGTGCATTTTGTTCATTGAGCAATAATGATCAAAGCCACAAAGAGCGACTCAAGGTTCAAGCCATGGAAGCATACATTTGTAATGGATGATCAACAAATCAAGAGTTTTTACTTAACTAAAATGTAGTAGTTAGTTTGTTTTTAACTAAAGTGGCTTGCAAATGTATCTTTAATACTCATCTTGTCACTTTCAAAATAATTAGTTTGTGAAATTAAAAATTTCTCAAATCAATTTTTAATCCACGATTTGTTTTAGGAACAAATTTAAGAGGAGAAATGTGATAGATTTGTACCTTTCCGTTGTTCATAGGCCTCATCTGAGAGCTCAAACTTCTCCACTTTGGAATCATCAAACAACTCGCTGGTCTGTCCTCCACTCCTGTCAATAACCTGGTCAGGAAACAAAGAGACAAACACAATAATATAACAACCACAAGCATTTTACTGTAGTTTTTTAACTACAGTAAACTATCTACATCAATAACAATAACAAAAAAAACCTGATGCCATCCACACATTCTGATTATACTAAAATAAAGTCACTGTAAAGGTCAAAATTTTATTTATGCAAGGGAGTATTAGGGTCACTTTGAGAAAGACAAAAAAAAAGGTTTATTATACAACTTTTTAGAGCAATATATTAAGAGAACACATTACAGACGACTGTTTTTTTACAGCTGATAAAAGATCACAGAATCTGGTCACAGTAGCTGCTTAAAGGGCTACAGCAACTTTATCAAATAAGCGTTTCCTTTTTAATGTAAGAGGTGATCATCTCCCAAAAGCATCTGGAATTATGGCTAGTTCACATGGAAAGATTTTTATGCAGATTTCCACCCAATTTTTAAGAATAGCATCAGTCAAGTTCTGGAAAAAACCTTCAGATATTTTATATAAAACTAAAGATGATCAGATTTTTTTTTTCTTTTGGATCAGCGCACATTTAAATAAACAAACCCTTGCTTCCTATACCCCAGACCATATATTTGACAGGAAGTCTGTAAGCGATGTGAGGAGAGTCGTTAACGAGTGATGGTGCAGCACGCTGACGACAGTCAAAACTGCAATTAAATCAATAGATGCTTTACTTTATGAGTATCGAATGCAGGCTAATGCAAGCAGATAGGACTGTTAAACATTCCCAATTTATCTGACCAATAATTGTGTGTGTTTCCACACTTAATTTAAGAAGGAAAACAATTTTAACATCACACACTCCTAGATTTTCAACCAGTGTATAGTTTGTAAATAAATTTTACATCTACTGTAACTTACATTTTATCTACCGTATCACTAGATATTGCATTTCAAGTACTTTTAATATTGTACGTACATGTATTCTGCATTCATCATCCACAGGGTAGGAACCAAATAAAGCTTCATTGTTATCGATTTTCTGTAGGAACCGATCGGTGGTGCTAAAAATCTCCAGGTCCATGCTGGAAGCAGGTACACCAACATTCATCTCCAGGAGCATCTTAGCACAAGAGAGTAGACACAGAATAGACCAAAGTTAGAAAGTAGAACTAGTTAATATTCTCAAAGTAAAGTGCAAGGGATGTTATACTTGTATATTACCTTTAATTCTGCAATAGTAATTCTTTTATTGAACCTTCGGCGGTTCTCGAAGCTGGAAAGGCTGCTTGTGATACGGACATTCACAAAAGGGTTGGTAACCACCGTCACTTCACCGTCCATCCTGCACTCTGTTCGGGCCCCACCTAAAAACTTGTTTCTACAAATGAAAATAAATACCATCAACAGATCATCCAACAGAATTGGAAAGATTTTAAACATGTAATAAGGCATTTTTATGCGACTTCAGAGGAAAGGATGTCAATTTCTACACCGGGAAAGTCTCTCTGATGTTGATAAGAACAAATCCTTTACAATGACGACCTGGCCGGGAGAACAAGGCATCATTGATACTTACAAAGGAAGTACGTTTTCACTGCACAAAGTGAAATCAGTCACTGAAATGTGATTGTATATTAAATGTAGCGACAGAAAACCTTTGATCTGAACTGCTCAAGAAGAAGATGCTGGAATATTTGTTTGGTGCCACTGCATTTATCAAAAGTTGGCCTGATTGAGCAGCCAATCTTTACAACAAGGATATAGAATAAAAAGTTAAACAGCAGAGAGTCCTGATTTCTATCTAATGAAGCGTTCAAGTAAAAATACGAAAAAAATATATATATACATGAACAGTTTCCATCCTGCAAAACGAATCTGTCAACTGTTTAAAGGGATTGTCGAAATTTGACTAACAATTAGTCTCCAGTAATTAAGACAATGCAATGTACAAATGTAACCAGGATAAAACATGAAAAGTTGCAATAAAGTATTATTCATCTACTTTATTAGGAAGTAGATGTTACCGTAGGTGCAACAATGTAATAATAAAATATCCTGCATCCTACAAAGGCAATGATTCCACGTTTTTGCCAGGGTACGCAGTATTTTTCAACAAGTCATCATGTTTCAGTGCATCACAGCAAGCATTTAGACCAGCAAAGTGGCTTTTATCCCGTCTTTATTCCAGATTAATTTCACTTAATGAGGTTTCTTCTTTTCGCTGTCATTTTAAATATGACTATCGTTGGCTACACTCTGGGTTAGCTAGCTGATAGGGTTGGTGGTAAGCAGCTGCAGCAGCCACGTTGGACCCATTGAGACACCTCGATTAAACCACAGTTTTCTGACATTTACTTACATTTGTGTGTCTTATCTCCAGCGGTATGAACAAGTTTTGAGAAAACAGGCTAGCCGTGTACGGTTAAAAAACCGTTATAAACTACAACGACACTAAAACAAAAATGGTGAACCTAGGCTCGCTTTGTATTTACGCTAGAAAACTCAAACTCCAATTCCTGCTACGCCCTGCTCTGGAAGGTTCTACACGCCTTGGGAGGAACGCACCAATCATATTGGAGATAGAACGAGCTCAACCAATAAGAATTACTGGTTACAACGGAAAGACCTCCTCCTCCGGAAACACTTGACAAAATCAACAACCAATCAAAGGACAGGACTAAAAATCTCAATATGTAGGATCAACCACTAGACAGCGCAATTGTGCAAATGGCCAAAATAAATACCCCGTAAAAAGTGTTGAATTCTTTGACGAAGGCATGGATACATCGGCATTAAGTGTTGAAATTAATTATGATCAGCTTGATTTTAGAGCATCTAAATGAAGGCTGGACTGATACTGATAAGTTGGATTGGTAGATTTAGATATTTAGAGATTTTTAAGGAGGAGAAGATAGCAGAAAATAGACATTTTCCCTTTTGTGGTTAAAATACATGAGCGGATGTTTAAATTTGGTTTGAAAAGTGGTGAAAATGGCCCGATTTTCACATTTCTGACTCCTAAATCGGACACCCTCTGCAATTGTATGGGCGCTATCTCTCCCCTACGCCTCAAAAGTGTCCCACTGTTATTTACTTCCACATTTGATGCACTGAAATCTCTAAAACTCCCGTGGCTTTAGATTGGGATAAGTATTTAAAACTATTTATTTATTTATTTATTATTATTATTATTATTATTATTATTATTATTATTATTATTATTATTATTATTGTTGTTGTTGTTGTTGTTATTGTTATTATATTGTGAGCCGTGTGTTAAAGGGCAGTGAAAAATATACTTTACTAAACCAAACTGGCTGGGCTGATGGATGGTGTTAGAATATGAACAATTTCTGTTTCTCTTTGTCCGCAATTTGATGCTTTTATTGATGAAAAAAGAAAACTAAGCTAAATTATAATTTTGTTTACCACAGAAAAGAAAAACATCCTGTTCTCTTTAATCCCTCTGCAATGTCACATAAACATTAAGAACACTGCAGATTAAAGGATGTTGGATTAACAGGAAGAGAAATAAGATAAATCTCCTTAACCTGCACATTTACCTGAATATTTACATTCTTGTACTCAGTACATGCAGGTCTCCATAGATCATATTACACAGGGATTGTCATTCATCTTTATAGTTTCGGCTTTTATATCTTTTCATCATGTGTTATCACAACGTAAACAAAAGTAAATCATGAGGAAAGCAATGCATCTCTGAACTGGGTCATGATTTACATTTTTTGATGACTCATTAATTTGTCAAAAATAAATAATTCTTATCAACTGCAAAAATCATCTAGATCCATGTAGCTGGCGGAGGCATTTTGGTATGTGTTTTTGCAGACTGTATTTGCATATAAACCACCTAATGCTCAACAGACCGTTTGATCCAGTGGGAAAAGATAAATCATAAACAACATAAGGACTAATACAGCGGCAGTTCTGGCATCTTCTGTTTTTATGCAGATAAGCCTTCATTTAGAAACATGTTTATTCTCACTGTTATCCAGAAAAAGATTATAGCTCTCTTTATCCTTACAACTAGCTAGAAGACACTTGACGTTTTTGGAGCTATTCATAATTTTATCCATCTTTCAATAAAAACCCCGTTCCATCCTAAGAATGGTTGACCCATGAGCATAATGCAACCACCACCATGTTTCACTTTGACCCAAATACACATGTTCACTCGCACCTGGAAGTATAACTCAGGTAGCGCAAACTACAGGCAAACAAACACAGTTATAATGGTGGCGTTAGCGAAAACACCTCTAATAGTAGAGCTAATGGTAAAAAGTAGTGATAATGGTACCTTATATTATTTGTTGCTGATAAGGCAAAAATGGTGAGACATTTTTTTGCCTTATCAGCCGACTTTAAGACAAATAAGATCGACAGAAAATACATCAGCTACATTGTTTACAGGAAACAACAGAGATTATTGCATACTTTCAATAAACATTTACATATTAAAAGTTTACAATTACCGGGTGCTCAACCCCGCCCTTCCTTCTTTGCCTCTCCAATGCCGCCCTGGGCGACTGCCATCAAAAGTTCTGGAGCGTGTAAAAGCACCGATGGTTTTTTTCAGAAATGTTTGGGGCAACAGGGTTACTGGGAGACATACAGTCCCTGTTGGAGTTAATTAAAGCTGCAGCTTGAGATCACATTTAGACGACTTGGATCGTGCCAACAGCAATAGAGAGAGGGGCGTGTGTGCTCCTGGCCTGGAGGCACATTAATCGGTCTGCTGGCGGAGCGGAGGACGGGAAAAACGCAGCGTTGCGGAGGGAGGGACGGAGGGAGAGAGAGAGAGAGAGAGAGACAGGGGAGGAGGAACTACTAGTGGAAAAAAAAAAAGTTAAAGTGAAAATGGCTTCCTTGTCTTTAGAGTCTACAGAACAATCTGAGAACAGCCCAGAGGAGCCATCAGCAGCCGAGTCCAAAGAAGACAAAGAAACCGCCCGAGTTTCGGAACATCTGCTCCAAAGTTTCCAGAAGTCGGCTCTGAGTTTCTCCACTGACCAGGTTTCGTGTCTGTGCGAGGCCCTGCTGCAAGCGGGTAATGTGGATCGCCTGTGGAGGTTTCTCTCCACCATACCTCCTTCGTCCGAGCTGCTACGTGGCAACGAGACTTTGCTGAAGGCCCAGGCGCTGGTGGCTTTCCACCGGGAGGAGTTCAAGGAGCTGTACGCCATCCTGGAGAGCTATGACTTCCACCCGTCTAACCATGGGTTCCTGCAGGACCTGTACCTCAAAGCCCGCTACAAGGAGGCGGAGAGGTCCCGGGGCCGCAGCCTGGGCGCCGTGGACAAGTACCGGCTCAGGAAGAAGTTCCCCCTGCCCAAAACCATCTGGGACGGGGAAGAGACCGTGTACTGCTTCAAGGAAAAGTCCCGGAACGCTCTGAAGGAATGCTACAAGAGCAACAGGTATCCCACTCCGGACGAGAAGAAAAACCTGGCCAAAGTCACCGGACTGTCCCTCACACAGGTCAGCAACTGGTTCAAGAACCGCAGGCAGAGGGACAGGACCCCGTCCGGGACACACAGCAAAAGGCAAGAACAACAAAGCTGCATGCATGTGCACACATTCAATTATATAAGCTGCAACAGTGTCCTTTGTTTGGAAGCAGAGGAAACCCAGAAAGGCTCTAAAACCTGAAGAAAAAACACAGCACGCCTTCACTCGAGCGCAAAAATGAGCCAATATGTTAGACGCTGGTTTATGCAATTGATTTGGCTGTAGCTGAGTTTTGGCAGGAGTGAAGTCACACATCTCAAACCTAAAGCATGTTGCTTTGTTATGAAATGTGAGATCCAGATGGGCCCGCGATGGCTCAAGTTTCCTGAAACCCTGCACTGCGCTGCCGCCTTCAGAGCCAGAGAGACAGAGGTTAGTTAGTGGAAACCTTTAACAAGAGAGAGTGGGTGGAAAAAAAACCTGCAGGATCAGGTCACACACAGCCTGAGATCTCTCATTTTATACATTGCAGTAGGGATGGATCAGGCCAGACCTTGAGGTGTTCATTGTCAGCAAAAATAATGATATTTATTGATGCTCCCAAAGAACCAGCAGAGGAAAAAAATAGTTTAATTATGAAAAGTAAAAAAAAAATCCAACCATACTGTCATTACAGAGTAAGTAAGTCTCAATTTTATTATGATTATCATATTTTGCTTTTACGCTGATCACAATAGTACAATATTTACCCATAGCTGTTGCCTAATGAAGGTTTCTTTCTTTCTTTCTTTTTTTTGTTTTCTGCATCCAGGCCTGTTTTTAACCAATTTCTACCAGTCTCAAAAATCGCATGTAGCAACACTTTAAAAAAAAAAAAAAAAATTGTAATTCTGGGGTAATTTAAGTCACTCAATTCACATTGAAATACAAAGTTGCAACTTAAAATCACCAACAACAACAAAAAACAAAGTATATATAAATATTGCCATGAACCATTCACTGTTCTGGGAATATTCATACTCGTATGGAGGCCTACCAACCGCAGGAGACCAAGAGCTCTTTAATTGAGGTGTAGCGATGCAAAAAAACTCACAAGAAGATACACAATATTGAATTTACAAGGACGGGAGAGAAGGAGATTTATTTTACATTACTTTCAAGAAAACTTCAAAGCTCAAATTTCTTCACATTGCCTTTATGCTGTACTTTTGTCGCAAACTCAACAAACTGTCTTTTTGTTATTATTTATTTTTGATCTCTTCAGGCCGTAGGACAGTGCTTCTGCGGTAGATTTCCCAGTTTCTGTTCATAGAGTGCGCTGTGATTGTTTTGTAGCTCAGCGAACCCTCCTACACCCATCCATCGGTTGCTATAGCGACACCTTCTGCCACTTTCAGCGTCCGACATGAACACGTCGTCCGTGTCTTGTCTGTTTATCATCTCTGCTGGAAACTGTGAAAACGCTGCCCAACATTTAAGAGTGAGTTGAGGCATCTTGTATTACAACAACCAGGATGACGCCATGACGACTGCAACTGGCTGCTGCTCACGAGACCGAAGTCGCTTCAACAAGAAATTTTAATATCAAGAGATCTCGGTAGACAAGTTCTTGTTACACCCCTACTCGTCGTTACCAAAGATAAATGATCAAAATTAAAAGTCCAGGGAGCTGAGAACGCTGCCTAATTGACTCTGGGTTTGGTTGGTGTAATTAAAAAAGTGACTCATCTTCAGATAAATTAAACAGATTTAGTCAGAGGAGAATTCAAGAATTGGCCTCAGCTTACTTAGCAAATGATGTCCTGGGTATTTTTACTTTCTCACTGGGAATTCTTGAAACTGCAATTGTAAATGGAAAAACGTTTATTTTTTTGGTGGCGAAGGAGAAGTCAGTAGCATAACAGGTCAAACTTACTGAGCACAAACTGTAGCTTCATACTGACTAATCATAACACACCAACCAAATCAAATATGCGTCAATAAGCTTGACTTATTCAGTTTCTCTCAGGTCCTGTCTAATGAATCCAGTTTTCACTGATTCAGAATTATTTTTCTTGACTCTTTCTCCTCTTTTATAAAAGAAACAATGTTCTTTATGGTATTTGTAGTAGCTTTAAATTGAATAGACAATACAATTACAATATACTCACTTATGCTTGAAAGCCTTTGTCTACAGCTTTCATCTGAGCTCAAAGAAGTGAATCAGAGTACATGACTGGTTTTATTATCAGCCAACTTATTTATGGGATGAAAGTGTGTGTGTGTGTGTGTGTGTGTGTGTGTGTGTGTGTGTGTGTGTGTTCTTGGTTTTTATTTAATGAAGAGTGGCGCTGATTCCTGTCTCTGGCAGAATAATTGGTGCAGCTCGTTTTTTTGTTTTGTTTGTTTTTACAACCACTGCTTCTCCAAACAGGCGTGATCTGTTCGTGAAGAGATAAAGCAGAGCACAGAGGGCTTATCTCGCCCCACCTCTGTGGTTGTGGTGGTCAGGCCGAGCGACGCTGCGAATCTGTGTGGTCAAACCAAAACCAGAACCATAAAATGGGTTTTAGGGCTCTGGTCCTTCCTGCTTGCACAGAGGAGTGCTGTTATGCATGGTTGATTATTAAGTTGGAGGAGCAGCGTGTTGAATAATGGTTAACCGTGCTGCGGTTTTAAAGTAGAGGAGAATCTTTAACAAATTTTCTTTTGCCACTAGAAATGTGAGATCTAAATCCAACCAGGACAAAACTTGTCTGATTTACATTAGATGTCTCTCAGCATTTCAGTTTTAGTACTACGGTATCTGCTTTTAATCACAACAGGAGAGCAATGATTATCCCTGCACTGCAAAAACACAAAATCCTACCAAGTGTTTTGGTCTGGTTTCTAGTGCAAATATCTTGGTACAATTCAAATAAGATAAAACTAACTTATAAATAACTTTTAGCCAAGAAGTACCTTGTTTTATGTCAATAATTCCATAATGTTGATGAAAAAGTTCCAGTTCCACTGGCAGATTATTTCACGTAGACCAAGATGTTTTTCTCATGTTAAAAAAGTTAAATAATCTGCCAGTGGAACTGAAACTTTTTCATCAATATGATGGAATAATAGATGTAAAACAAGCTCCTATATCTTGCTAAGAAGTTACTTGTAAGTCAGTTTTGTCTTATTGAAATTGTACCAAGACACTCGCTATGATTTAGTGTTTTTGCGACGCATTTAAACTTCATATTTTCTCAAAAGCAGAAATAATTGTGAAAGACACTCATTAAATAACCAGTCATTTTCTTTTTATGTTTAACTTCGCCTTTAATTTCAGTGAGTCTGATGGGAACCACAGCACTGAAGACGAGGCGAGCGTCATGGACGAAGCGGCGGACAAACCTGAGGAGCCCGTTGGCTCCGGGGCTTCCATCATCTCCGTCTCAGCTGTCCCCTGCAGCGCTGGGAGCCAGCTCATCCTCAACAGCCCCAGCGGCTTCCTCACGGCGCCGCAGCCTTTGCTGCTGAACGGAAACTCCCTGATCTCCGGCGCCGGGGCCGGCGTCATCATCAACGGCCTGAGTCTGGGTGACTGCCAGACGGTCACGCTGAGTCCTGTCACCACCAGCTCTCCTTTGATCCTGAACGGGGCTCAGGTCATAGCCAAACCCGGGGTCGGCGCAGAGCAGCAGCAGGCGGCGGAGCCCAAGGTGGCGGCAGTTCTGAGCAGCAACATGCAATCTTCCGAGGCCTCAGCCATCGTCTCTCCTCCACTGCAAACCAAAGCAAAAAGCGGCAACAACATGGATTTTCTCGTCCGCTGTGAATCGGAAGGAGGCTGCCAGACGGTATCCTCGTCCTCCTCGTCTTTATCGCCCTCCCCGCCAGCTCTGTCGTCTCCCACCAGTCTTCCATCTCTAGTCTTAACTCAGAACCTGCAACATCAAGAGCCACTCTCCCTCACAGCGCCTCTGTCTTCTGCAGGCGTAGTTATTTCTAACTCTCTAGGTCAGCAGGGGGCTTCTCCCTCGTCAGTTTCTTCCATCCACTCCACCCCTCATGTCATCTCTTTGCCCCAAGTTGTGCCTTCCATCCACTGTGCACCAGTCTCCCATCTGGTCCAGACGTCTTTAGGATCTCAGTGCCCTCAGCTCGTCCCAGTATCCCCACTCGCCTCTCCGGCTCCACCGTTCCAAAACCCTCAGACTCAAAACCCGGCTGGCAGACCACCGGAGCAGCAGAAAGAGCCCCCAACAACTGTATCTGAATCTGCTGCGACTGTGGTTTCGGTCTCAGAGCTCAACAACACTACCCTCCAGCAAATAAACTCCACTCCCAGCAAAATCCAGACTCCGCAGGCTCTCTCCATGTCTTCCCCAACTCCAGTAGTGCCGGTGTCACAAGCCAAAGGCAGCAGCGCCTCTGCACAGTTAGTCTCTCTCTCCCTGCCTCAGCTGGTCCCCGTCTCCTCCATCCAGACCTCCTCCAACGTCTCTTTCCCTCAGGTGGTGCCGGCCAGCCCAGCTCTCTCCATCCCCTCGGCCGGATTGCCCTTGCAGATCCTGGCTTCGGCTCCCGGGTCCGGAGGGGCTCCGCAGACCCCGCTCCGGATAAACCCGCTGAGTCCGATTCAGAGAGTGGGGAACCCGAGCAGCGTGGCCCCCACCGTGCAGCTCCTGAACCCTGGGATCATTCAGCTACCTACGTCTCCAACAGGTAAGCATGTTTCATTGGAAAATTAGATTTATCATTGGTCTTAAGGTGGATTCTTTGATGTCTTTTCATTTAATTTGATGAAGTATTTAAATGTAATTTGGAAAAACTTGAGTTAATCTTGAGAGGAAACAAATGGTTTATTAAGGATCTGATCTTCATGGAAGAGTGGAAGAAAGCCTCTGCTGAAAGGAAGCAACAGAAAGTCCCATTTAACAGCTTGACATTCGGGGTGTTTTCACACCTGATAGTCTAGAAGATTCTGTTCGATTGGGGACTAAAACTGCAACATTTGTTATATTTTCCACTTGTGTGGTTTGCTTTCACACGGCGGTGAACCAAAACCTTTGAAAACCTGTTCCCACTTCTCGCCTGTGGTGGCGCTGCACCAAGAACCACTGAAGGAAATGAAACGAAAACTGAGCACAAGTTTCTTTTTCACATAACATAAACAGAAATGTAGTAGCGTCAGATCACCAGTTGGTGGCTATAATGCTTCCTTCAGTTGCTTGCCGTCACCAACATATCAAAAAAGAAGAAGTAGGGTCAGATTTTAGTGGCTGTAGTATTTCTCTTTTGTCTTTGGCAAAAGACCACAAACTATTCCTCTGACTACTGTTAGACTCGTGTGTTTGCTTAGGTTGTATTTACCCAGAATGCCCTCCACCACAATCTGCTTCCTGCTTTTGGAGCGGCCTGCTGGCATTCAGATATGCACTCGAACGGCACCAGAGTTCACTTCAACCAAACCAAGACTGAGGTTTTTAGGTGGACCAGGGGGGTCGCTTTTTTTTGGTCAGAGTTCTGTTGTGTGTTCACACCTCCCCAAATAAACCAGACTTTCTAGGCAAATGAACTAGTGTTGGATTAAAGCGGATTAACAGGGCTGGTGCGAATGCAGCCTTCATTTTTGCCACAGTCCATGCAGGGAACTTGGGAAAAATGGGGATGCTTTTTTTTCAGCAGGGACTCAGAAGAAGGTCAAAGTTGATGGGAAGATGGAAGGAACCCTTGGAGGTTCCCAAACATGCAGGCTAGTTCTAGAGGGACATTGGTTATATCAACAGGTGTTAATGTGTTGGAATGGCCTAGTCAAATCCCAGATCTCACTGAAATTGTGAATTTGTGGTTACAGTTGAAAATTGATAAGATGAACCTGAGATAATTTTTTCATTGAAGGATGGGCAGAAATGCCAGCCCCTAAATGTGCAAAATATTGATTAATGAGGGATGAATACAAATAACGCCACTTCTCATGTTTGTAAAAGATAATCAAAATCATCAAGTCAGATGAAATCATGTGTAATTGTTATCCTCCCCCTTAGCCATCTCCAGAAAGCTTGTGGTTGCTCAGTAGGGTAACTAGCATGATGTGCATAAAGTCACTAAATAAGTATCATTGTGTTTTCCTCTAGGGAACCTCGTTCTTGGTGGAAGTCCTTATCTGAGTGTCCAGCAGGGGAAGCTGATTCTGACCATCCCAGCAGGGATCCAGCTCACCAGTTTACCCCTGAAACCAGTCCCCGACACACCTGCCATCTCTGCCAATGGCGTGGCGGGGCTTCTCGGCCCCTCTGCGCCTCCCGCGGCCCACCCGCCTCCGTCCGCCTCCGGCTCGACCGCCGCCGGCCCGGCAGCTTCGCCCTTGAACTTCATCAGCTCCTCCCCTCTGTACTGTGCTCCGGACTCCGCCGTCGCCACCAGCCAGGCGCTCGCCGACCAGCCCGTCACCATGATGACCCAGAGCACGCTCACTCCGGAGAGCATGCTGGCCCTGGGCCCCATGTACAGCGGCGTGGCGCCGAGCCTCCAGCTGTCCCAGCCGGCGTGGAGCCCCGTGTCGCTCTCCACCTCGGCCAGCCTGACTCTGTTTGACATGCGGGGGAAAGGCGAGCTGCCCGTAGACCCCGCCCTGCTCGGCCTGCCCGGCGGGGAGTCGCTCCTGCTGGGGAGCCCCTCGCCGGGGCAGGACGAGGACGCCAGGTCTCCCCTGGGGGACCCAGAGGAGATGGACGCGGACCCCAAGATCCTCACTCAGCTCCAGTCGGTCCCCGTGGATGAAGACCTGGGTTTGTAGCCTCTTAAAACTGCACGCTGGCGACAATGATCTCTGAAAAACTTTAGTTGCTCCTCATGACCCGACATGTTACCTTCACACTCTTTAAACATATTAATTAGGTATTTAAACGTTTTAAAACCTTCACAGTCCTGATTGGCACTTTTGAGAGAAGTTTTTGCAGTTTTGTTTCTCTGTGTTTGGCAGCTCCAGTCAGAACCTTGCATACGCTTTTCATGGAAATCAATATCGCGCTGGTTTTGGGCATTTAAAGATTTATTCGTAGCGCATTAATGTTACATAATGCATATTAATCTCATTACCTACTTTGACCTACAAGCGTCAATACAGAAAAGTGAATGGATCCACTTTAAATAAATATAAATATAGAAATTTTTTTTTCCTACTAGCATATTTGTTCTAAAAGCTTAAGATGGATATAAAATAATGTTTTTTTTAAACCATAAAATGAATTCTTGATTCCAGACATAAAACCTGATTATCTCCTCTTTTTTTTAAAAGGGTTTAGTTTTAGACAAATGTTCTTTTTAATGAGGCTGAAAGTGAGAATTTGTACTTGGAGAGTAAATGATCCTCAGCCCTAAGACGAGCAGTTAACAGCTGGATCTGCAACAAACCCAAACACACGGAAACTGAGGTTAGAAGTACAAAACGGGCCAACGTTTGGCTTCAGGAATGCCCTGACCTCAACTATGCTCAAAATTTGTGGAATATTCACAAAGACTCGGCCAGATCCAGAGAAAAACCACTTAAATGTGGCTCACCAGGAAGGTTTGTCAAGCATCCACAAATACCTCCTCACCCGGTTTTATTCTCTATTCAAAGCTCTCCTGCAGTCAGAAAAATAATCAATGAGTCAGATACATCTTTAGATTTAAAAAAAATTAGAAAATAAATGACGTCGACATCCATGATGAGTGTATGTAAACGCGTGTCTAGAAAGGCTTCATTTTGAGGGAAGATTTTAAAGGGAATTTTCTGCCGTTTTCAGCCACATTTAAAAAATAAAAAAAATCTTACTTGAGAGAGGAGCTAACTTTTTGACATTTTGAGGAATTTCAACAGTACATTTTCCTGGAGGTTTTCCTCGAGGTGCCACCAAAAGAGAGAAGATCTGGTAAAGTGAAAACACTTGTACATTTTGCAGCGAGAGCTTCTGGACTTTGACTCTTCTTACGCTACCAACACTCCAAAATAAAGAGCATAAATTCTTTTATGCTCTTTATTTTGCCTATTAGTTGCAAGGGAAACACAACAGTATTTTACAGATATGAACCAGTTACTGAAGTCTGGCTAACCAGGCAGATGTGTTGCATTTAATGTAAAGGATTTTTTTTTTTTTTTTTTTTCAGTTTTTGAATTGTGTGATTGAAATTATAATAATAATGAATAATGATAATAATGATACAGGAGTTAAAAGGGTTTTAAGAAAAGGTTATAACTCTATGCAATGCTATATATGTGTAGCTCTATATAGGACACTACGTCGCACAACACTTGGGAGACGAAATGAAGCGTTGACGTGCGTTACACTAAAGCGTTTTGCTCTGATTGTGATGTTTCTCATCAAATGCAGCCAAAGCTTCAGCACAATGATGCTGATAAGTGCCTTATTTTAAACCGATTTATTTTTTTTTTTAATGTTTTGTGTTTGTCCCACCGTTTTGTATGACTTGTATGTTGTTGACCTGATTTTTGGACTTTAAAGAACGCCCACATTTCTACGTCAGTTTGACCCTCTGTGAATTGCTGTGATACTTTATTTGCATGGTCGTTGCTCCATCTCATCTTTTTTTATTTTATTTTATTTTTTTTAAGTCATATATTTTGCACATTTCATTCGCATTATGTTTACGTTAACGCTCCCGTTGTGTCGCGATCGCGGTGGGACTCGTTTGTTCGGGACGCTCCAGGTCCTTTGGATTTAAACGCTAAACCCAAACAGGCCGTCTGGCTGCGGGCCGCAGCGCAGGCAGCCCTCAAGCTTTTTGTTCATTTATGGTACATAAATGTACACTGGATGTCAGAAGTGGACACACCCCTGTTAAAATGGCAGGTTTTCGTGAGTTAAAGCTGCAGAATGTAACTTTTTATTTTAAAAAATATGTTTGTGTTTTTTTTCTTTTTAGGATATTTGTTAAAATTGTCACTATCTCAACAGATGATGAGACAGAAATTCCTTGGAAAAAAATCAAGCTACTCCACCTCGTCCCATTGGTGAAACGTTTAAGATTTAGTTTCCAAACTTCAGTTTTCCTCTCATGAGGTAATTCTGGCATGTTGCTGAAAAATAAAAATCCATCTTCAGATTTCCAGCAGACATTTGGAGGTTTTGGATTGAAACTGAGTGATATTCACACCGTTACAAACTGGGAAACCAAACCCAGATCAACATATCACTGTGGTTTTTTTCAATATTTTCTCTTTTTGTTTCTTTCTTTGGTGATTGATGGTGCTTTTGTCTGATTTTATCAGCTCATAACATACAATCACAAGGCCTTCGACGACTTTAAGGCGTTCCTTAAAATGTTTTCTCTGGAAGAATTTAACTTGGCTCATCAAACCTACACCCTTAATCATCTGATCCCTCTGCAAACTGAGGCTTTAACTGAGGGATTAAAGTGAGCAGACGTGAGGAATATTTTCTAAAAAGATGCCTGAACCTAATTCAGGACAATCAAATTATTATATTAGCTTATGGATGTGCCACTAAATTTGTCTAATCTTCTCCTAACAAACTTGTTTTGTTGTTGTTTTTTTCAGCTGAATTGTAAGGCAGCTCATAAAGAAGTGGAAGTTGTTTATTATGCCAATTATTTCTTTCTCCAGCTCTTTAACAGGGGGCTTCGCTTTTGAAATCCAGTGTCGACTTCAGTATTGCCTCCAGTTACAGCAATGACCTGCGTTTGTGACTTTTATATTTTCCTCTGATTGGTATGTTTTGTACATTTAACCTATTTAATTGCATGTGCCAGTCGGTTCCTAGCTTAAAGTTAAGACTCGTGAAAACGGTGCATATAGGAAATCTCGGGTGACTTTGCGTAAGCTCCGGGGTTTTTAAACTCTAGTTTATCCCGCTGTTGAACTTTGAACGACGGAAACGGGGCTGTTTTTATTTTAAATATACCAAAGCATGCTTGTTTTTCTTTTGTTTGTAGCCTTGAGTTTTTTATTGTTACCAGTCACTTAACCTACACAACTCTTGATTTAACCAAAGATTGTGTGTTGGTCTTTTTTATGTTTTTTTTTTTTTTTTAAAGGGAGATGTCTGTCTTTAAATGTTCTTCCTGTTTTTTTGTTTTGTTTTGTTTTTTTTTTTACTCAAATACATTCTATTTTTTATATTACATGATACTGTAATAAACTACATTTATTAAAAAAGGAAAAAGTTTGTCTCCTATTTACTACCCTTTGTTGGAGCTGTAGGGTACAACCAACTCTCATTTGTTCAGGGATTTTTGCCTAAAATTTGTCAACAAAATTTTATTCAAATGCGTTTCTGGGAAAGCTTTGGGCTCGTTCTCCGGTTAGTTCAGAGCTTTCAAAGGTGCGCCGGCGGCTCGTGTTTGCACAAGAGAAGAAGAGGGTGGAGGGGGGGGGGTCTCTGGTGTGTTATTATAAACCCTGATGGGCTCAGGTTACCTGTGCGAGGGTATGATGATGCTCGATCCCAACACTCATGCTGGTTGGTTTGGTTTTGGTTCATCCATAATGATCCACGGAGGCTGCAGCGCTCAGAGCAGCTAAGCTGTAGAGAAGCTGTTTTCTTTTTTTTTTTTTTGTTTGTTTGTTTTTACCACGATGATCTTCACAACAGAGCAGGTCATCTGCGTGTGTGAGGTCCTGCTGCAGGGCGGTCACATGGATCGTCTCGCCAGCTTCCTCCGCACTCTTCCTCCCTCCTCCTCCTCTTCTTCGTGCCTCTGGGAGCTGGAGAGCGTGCTGAAGGCCCAGGCAGCCGTGGCCTTTCACCAGGGCCGCTTCTCGGACCTCTACGCCCAGCTGGAGGGCTTCCCATTCTCCCCGCGCAGCCACCCGTTCCTGCAGCAGCTGTGGCTGCGGGCCCGCTACGCCGAGGCGGAGAGGCAGCGGGGCCGGCCCCTGGGGGCCGTGGGGAAGTACCGTGTCAGGAGGAAGTTTCCTTTGCCCCACACCATCTGGGACGGCGAGGAGACCAGCTACTGCTTCAAGGTGGGAAGAAATCTTAAAGAAAAATGCTCTTTAGTTTACTCAAACACCCTCTGATGGTGACCGGGACGCTTTAATTACTTTCAGGACCTTCTCCTTAGTGCCTCGCAAAACTATTCAAAAGTTGGAACCAGAGACTCTAATTTTTTTGTGCCCAACACAAAGTGGTGCATAATTGCTACTTTCCTTCACTTTTTTCTTTTTACAAACAAAAAAACTGAAAAGTGTGGCATGCTCTTGTGTTCAGGTGTCAATGCTTGGAATTTTCAAGATTCAACAATCTTGAATTAATAAGTTGCAGCAACACTTAAATTTTGAAGTATTTTTGAAATGAAAACTTTTGCCTTGTGCATGTAAAGTCTTCACCTGCAGGGTTCAGATGCGCCTCTGCTTCATCACACCTGATCAGGTCATTGGGAATCTGGAGAATTTGACTGCATACTGAGGAAGTAATGCGGTAATTTGGTTCAGGCGTGTTAGGGACACATCAAAAACTTAGAGGAAAGTGACCCCTGACCAAAAGACATTTATGCTGCTTTTCATTGCAAAAATAACTCGGTCAGATCAGAGAGGGCTATTGTGAAAGTGTTTCTGCAGATGTTTAATCAAATTTAGGTCATTTGTTTTGATTTAAAGCATCTCATTGAAGCCACAGGCTGGCATGCTTTGGATCTTCCTACTTCCTGCTCGGAGGAGGAAGGAAGCAAAGCTCTGATCTGTTCTGTAGTAAACAACCTTCAAATGAATTTTGTCTGCTTTTTCTTACTCTTGCATCGAAATCAGATTGTGTGACTCTCTGCAGCTTCTCTTGGGATTTTGTTTAACCTAATCACTCAGCTTCATGACGCCGCTTCCTCTAACAAATTGTGGCCTTCACAGAACGACTAGCTTTATGCTGAGATTAAATTAGACCCAGCAGGTGGACAGTTTCTAAAAAAAAAAAATAAAAAAAAACTGGTTCACATTAAACCATTCTTCAGTTTTCTTTCCACGTAGTTATTCTCTGCTCTGTGTTGGTCTAAAACTTAAAATCCCTCCTGAAAACACGTTCAGGTTTGTGGTTATGACGAAATGGGAAGGTTTTTGGGGATCTGAATGCTTTTCAAAGGCGCTGCATATCAAATTCTCTTAAGGATACTGCTTCAAATGGAATTAATATATATATTTATTTTAATTACACCTGGGTGGAGGTGAAAAAATAAAGAATGACATATTCTTTATTCCTTTTTTTTTTTTTCTGATGACCCATAAAACGTTGACTTGCCGCCGACGGTCTTGAGAGCTCCAACATGTTTCTGATGTTCAGAACAATAAACGAGCTGATCTGTAAAGCAGGAGAAATCGCGGAGCGTGCTCAGGGAGTGGTACCACAGGAAGCCGTACCCGTCCACCCAGGAGAAACGGGAGCTGGCCGCCGCCACCGGCCTCACATCCACCCAGGTCAGCAACTGGTTCAAGAACCGCCGACAGAGAGCGCGAGCCACGGACGTTAGCAGGTCAGCGACGCCACAGAGGAAGGTTAAACTCTGTTGAGTTTTGATGACTTAAAGCATCTGGAGTAAAATAGTTTTTATAAATTGTATTGGAAGTTTATTCTGTCTCGAAAGAAAACTGATTGTCTCCTAAAATATCCAAGTTATGGGATTGAAACCTACAATTTTAGATTTGTAGCTTTAAAAAATCCTTTTCCATCTTATAATTACGACTTTTAAACAGATAATTATATGTATTTAATTACTGACTTCATATCATTCATATCTTACAGCTTCGCATCTCCAAATTACTATGCTACAACCCAAGGTTGTGAGTTTATATCCCATAATTTATTACTTCATAATTATCACTTCAAGTGTCCAAGTTATGACTTAAACCCATCACATTGTAATATTTGTAATTTATATCAAAATCATATCTTATATCTCATAATTATAACTTTGCATCTTCATATTCTGACTTTAAAACAGTTTGTACTTGGTCATAATTATGATTTTATATCATAATTATAAAATCATAGTTATCGCTCAAATTATAGATTTTTTTTGTCACATTATGACTTAAAATATTTTCTAACCAAAGACTTTGCTTTAAAGTGGAAATGTTGAAAATTTTGCTGTAATATTATGACTATAACTTTGTATTTTACAACTACAGATTTAACTATGACTTTAAAATTAAGAGAAAACATTGTTTTACAAAACTAAATTTACATTTTGATAATAAAACACTGCATCTCATAACTTTCTCAAAATTAGGAATTTATCTCTTATGACTTTCTCTATTATAAGAAATATTGTATCTCTCAACTATTACTGTTTCTTTACTTTTTGAATCACAGCTATGACTTTACATCTTTTCATTATAATTTGTGAATTATAACTACATCTAACTATACATTTCCTCAAATTATGACTACAATCCTAAGTATAAATCTCAAAAATATTTCATAATGTCATTATTCCTTCATAATTATGACATGAAAACGATCCTAATTTTACATCTGAGGATTTTATGTAGTAGGTGTGATTTTGTATGTGTTTTTACTACGACTAAATCTTATTCTGCTCCTTTCTGACGTTCTTGGATGTATTTAATCTTAAACTCTTGACATATTCAGATCCTGCTGGGGAAACGCGATCATTTCCTGAAGCTAAACAACCACAACTTCTAGTTCTGTGCTTTTTAAAGCCATATAAAAACTAGCAGCAGCGCCCTCACGTGGTCAAACCGGGTCATTAAAAGATGCATTTGGCTCCGTAAGCGCGTCTCTAATGCCGTTTAACTTCTGCCTCAGTTTTCAGACGGCCCTCGTTGGCGGACACTCGGGTGAAGTCTACCTGTCCTCTGAGAATGAAGCTTCTCCCCAAGGCAGCCCACAACCCCGGAGACGCCGCCCGACACCTCCACCCCTATGCCACCCTCCTCTTCCTCTTCATCACGTGCATCAAGACTGCTAGAACTTTATTGACCAGCAAAACAAGAAACAGCCACGGCAGCTAAACCCGACACAAGACAGACATTTAAAAATCAGCAGAATTAATTCACAGGTGTTTCGACACAACGTAATTCATATCAAACCAGATGTTGAGTTCAATTCAAGGACAATGCTGGTAAACTGATCTGTATGAGCAAAGTGTAACCGTTTGACCTTCAGAGTTTAAAAAGAAATAAATAAAAGCGATTTGAACTTCCAGAGAGTCTAACCTTGAGTGAGAGTACGAGGCTGGACTTTTACAGTAAAGATTATGATGAAGTTAAAAGCAGCAGACCTTCAGTGATCAGGAGAAGTACGAGCTTCACAGACAGAGTTCAGCTCGATTCAATCCAAGTCCGTCTTTAAGAAGATAAAGTGCATCTTCTTCATATTAACGGGGCTAAATTCTTGTTAAGGCTGCTCAGGTTTTTCTACATGTTTTCCCATTTGCTTCACAGGACATTTAGACACGAGGTCCAACTCGTCAGGCTCTAGTCTCTGACTTATCCATAGGCTGGCTTTGATCACCGACTCTCTCTCTCCTTAGTTTTACTTTGATCTCCGTCAGAGGTATTTGGCATTTTTCGGTTCAGAGGCCCAGATACTCGGCCAGGAACACGGCCATGATCTTCGTGAGGTTCTCCACGGTGGGGCGATGCATGTTCTCCTCCGTGTCGTCCAGTGTGTGCCAGAACTGAGGGAAGGGAGTGGCGATGATGTGCAACACGGGGACACCTGCAAGGAAAGATGAAATGAAAAGTTTTTAAAACTGCAACAAGAACAAAAAAATAAAATGCCTCAAACACAGCGGTGAGCTGCAGTGCGTCGTCGTATTGTCTTTTCATTGACCTCATTGTTGCATTGAGAATCTGACCAACAACAAGCCTGCAGCGCTAAAATTACAAATGTTATTGATTTGTAATTTAACACAATCTCACTGGTATGCTAGAAGTGCAGCAATTTTTTAGGTTTTACCAGATTCTCACTCATCCTCACAACTTTGGCTCATCACATAAAATCTCAAACACTTCAATGTTTGTGGCAACAAGAGTCGAGTTTTAGGAAGATAATATTGACATGTGCTCTGAT